GTGCTAAACTCTGTATAAATGCTCCACAAGCTAATATCTGCTAACCAGTTCAATAACAGTAATTACATTGGCTTTATAAGATTATTTTAATTTTAAACTGTTACATTATGTTCTGCTCAGATCACATTGAGCTAAATAAGATCAAATCTGCTGACTTGTGTTGTAAAATGAGACGTTTTCCTGTTTATTTTCTGTTAATAAATCCATAACACAAACAGTTTTTCTGACATTATTTAAACATTATATAGATTATATAAACTGTAAAATATTAATAATAATTGGATAAATGTTATTATTAATAGTTTTAATGATTTCTACGTCAGTCCTTTTTTTCTGCTCTGTTGTCAACATGTACAGTAATGTGTAAAGAGTCTTGACCGTTTAGCGTTAGCAGTTAGCTTCACCAGCCGATCACACGGTCACCTGGTTTTTGCGCACTCCAGTTGTTCTATATAAACTCCTTGGTTACTACACATTTAATTTCTCTGGAATTAATAAAGTATTTCTGAACTGAATTCAATTATAAAAGGTAAATGCCAAATTACTGTTAGGTTTTATTAGAAGAAAGTTGATGGATGCTGGAATAGCTTTATTGGCAACCGTCAAATTTATTTTATATTACATTAAATTACATTATAACATTAAATTACATGACTGTATATTGGTAGTGCTACATCCAGCATCTTAGGATGTCTCATTTATGCTGCAGCTACCATCATATGAAGACAGAGTCAAATGTATTCTCAGCTGGGCCCAGATTCAAAAACTACAGGTTTTTTATGGGCAAAGACAGGTCAGGCTGCTTTTTATCCTTTTTAATGTTTGAAGGAAGCTCAGGTCATCAACATTTGCTGAAGGACGTTACGCATCTTCTATAAGACTGTGAAGGAGAGTGACATTATCTTTGACAACATCTTTGGTGAGAAGCAGCATCCGAGACAGCGATTCAACAGGAGAACAAGAATAAGGATGTTTCTGAACTGGGGAATATTCTTAATTTTAATCTTAATATGAAAATGGGAAAACGTTTCAATATTTTATTTTGTACTTTTGGAATGAACAAAGTCCTTTAAATGTAACAGTGTGTGTGAGTGCAGGCAGCTCTTGCTCTGTTGAAAGCAGCAGCTTTCACAATCCTGTAGCAACATCAACGGTTCAAAGTGCTGGAAGAATGAACTTTTTGCAACAGTCTTTTCCAACTGCTAACAAGGGTTGAGGAGGGACATGTCACGATGATGTTCAAATGCTGCTATGAATTACAGCCTCACTGTTGAAATAAAAGCACATGATAATGGTTATTTTTGTCCTGCCGTGATTTATTTATTTAATCTGACAGGCTTCAACTCTTGGTGTTTGTAAGTCTCTTCTTGTCATGTTTTTGAACGACTGTTGTAAACCTACTGTTTCTGCTCTGTTTCGACTCTTTGGTCGACAGCAGCTGTTTTTCAATGTGCCWTAAAAATAAAATTAATTTGATTTAATCCAAATTGTGAGTTTTGTTTACTTACAAAGTAACGATAACAAATTTTGCTGGGCGATTAATTGTCTCAAAATTTATTGCGATAAGCGATAATATTGCCTGGTGACCATTTTACAACTAATAATTATAAAAGTGTAATATGTAGGCCTGTCACGATAACAAATTTTGCTGGGCGATTAATTGTCTCAAAATTTATTGCGATAAGCGATAATATTGCCTGGT